AGCGAAGCGCTGGACGCATTTCTGCGGTGGCTCTTTGGCTTGCACCGGCTCCACTCTGTCACTGTCTACGACATTTTCGTGTACGGCCAGTCGCTATCACTGCGACAGATAGCCGCGCGCCATTGGACCCTCCGCACAAGCTTCTTGAGCACCGCTCTCAACGGGAGGCCATGCGGGGTATTGCAAGATACGTCGACGCCAAAGCCCAACACTGTCGACGAGATCATGTTCTGGGCACTCGCTCGCGCCGTCTCGCACTTGGTCAACACCACGGTCGAGGTGTCGATCGACTTTTGCGCAGAAAAGCTCGAGGACGTGACGCGCCAAGCTGAAGCGAGATACGGCGTTCGAATGACGCATCGATCGGCTACGGAGTACGGTCTCCATAGCCCCACGAACTAAAACATACGAATACACGCATGGGCTTTTTTATTGACCCATGCACACGTTAAACATGAGTTTGCATATACTGTACATACACCTGAAAACTCAACTACCGAAAACTGTGAAAAGCCAATAGCCGGCAATTGAAGCAGTGCAATTATCCGGATGCCTCCGCATATCATCACAAATTGACGATGGCTGTCGCCGACGTTGTCGTCCTTGCGGCAACCGCGATCGTGCCCTACGTGGCATCGCCGTACGACGTCCGCGCCTTGCTCGTAGCGCTGCCAGCAAACATGCGGAGTGGGCCACTGGCAGCCCTCCTAACGCTTCTGCAGTCGCCTGCGGCCTTTCTCGAGCAGTGGCCGGTTGTCTGCCTCGAGGACGTTGCGCTGCGCTACCGTCCGTTGGCGCTATTGGCGCTGCCGGTGCTGCCGTCTATTGTCATCCGGCGCTTCCGCGACCTCCCGATCGTGGGCCGTCGCGAGCTCGTCGCCTTTCTGACAGCATGGCCGATCACGTCGATTCAAGTCTCCAACGACGACGACGGCGACTGGGACGTTGACCTTTTCGCAGCGGCGCTGCCACGCTGCGCACGCCTCGCGCACATTGGCGTCTCGATCAGCATGTTTGCCAGACTCCGCCGCTGGCTACCGCCGAGCGTGCGTCGGGTCACGCTCGCGCGGGACCCGTGGGACAGTACGGTCGACTACACGGATGCTGTCGACATGACACCGCTGCTCACGTGGCCCCAGACTGCAACGCTTACTCATCTGTGTCTGGACTGCGTCGGGTATTTCGAAAATGCGCTCGTCGCCAATGCACTGGCGACCGCACCGTCGCTCCAGTGTCTCGACCTCCGCAGTATGGAGCTTGATGGGTCGGACATCGTCGCTCTTGTCGACGTACTTGTAGCCGCCAAGATGACGTTGCCGCATGTGACCGAGCTGCGCCTGGACGGTGTGGACGAGTTGTCGGTTGCAAAATTGCTGTCGCTCATCGATGGACGCCGCTTGACGCGCCTCGACGTCCATTATGGGGAAAATCTCAGCTTCCTCATCGCGCTGCTGCCAACGCTGCCGGCCCTCGAGACGCTCTGCTTTGGCTATGGCATGCTCGATTTCTTGCCCGCTCCCACTGCCCACAAATGCCTCCGCCACGTATCCTTCGACACTTTTATGCTGGCGACCGAGGATGTCTCGTTGCTTCTGGACTGGACGTGTGGCCTCTCGCGTCTGGAGCGCATCTCGTTTTGTAATTTCACGTTGGGCGAAGGCCCGCGCGCGTCGATGCAGCGAGCGCTGTGCCATTGGTTCAATCGTGCGAGCGTCACGTACGTGCGATTGGAGCGCTGCGACCTTGACGAGGACGCGGCGGCTGACGTTGCGAGCGCACTCAGCTCTCGTACGTCGCCCTTGGCGCTGGACCTCGTGCAAAATGGCTTGCTGGGCCAGCGGGAAGTGCGCTGCCTCTTCGACGCACTGGCACCGCTTCCTACGAGCACGCTGCGAGCGAGCATCGTCGCGGAGCATCGCGATGAGATCGTGTCGTATGCGCGCCAGCGTGGCTTGATGGTCGACGACAGCGGTGATGGCGAGTATACTTTCTGTAGCGTTGGTCGGGTCCTGTAACATGACGTCCATGTATTCCTGCGTCGCCAAGTATGCAGCGTTGCCAAGTGTCTTCGCTTCTCGTCGAGCGCTGTACTGTAGCGATGGGGTATGTAGCTAACGGATAGAGATAGGATAGAGGAAGGACATTATCAAGTTGGCAGCGTCGGAGCTTTGCATGGAGATGATGAAGACATACTAGACAGCAGAACGCTTTGCCACGAGTCGATTTTGCTCCTTCCTGGTTTTGTGCGGAGACGGTGCACAAAAAATGAATGGTACCTCTGCTCGGGTTCGAAGTGGTGCCAGCAGAGAAGCACCGACGTCAGCAAACTCACTGCGTCGTCGTCGACGTTGCAGCTGCTACAGAGCACGTCATTGATTCCAGTGGTGTTAACCCAGTGGTACACGGGTATGTGCTGTCCTTGGAGCAGCATCACGCCGCAGTGAACCGTGCGAAGCTCTAGCAAATTGCACATCCATCGAAGTAGGCGCCGAACGCAGCGTCCGAGAAGCTGACGTTCACAGGCTAGAGCACACGCAGACACTGCGGCGCCTTTGGTGACACGGTTGGCATGCTCTGCGGCGGACTCTAGACCAATCGTCGACGTTGGGCATCGCGGGTAGGATGGTTATGAGAGTTGTCTCTCGGGTGGACTGCAAAGATCATGAGCATCGTGTCGAAAGCTTTGTCTCGATCTGCAAGCGATGAAAAATAATGTCATTTGTGCGATTTCAACGCATTGTTTTAGCGACGATGTGGGCTACGAGATCGTACTCGTTGTACTCTCGCGGCAGCATGGCGACGCCAAAGTCCATCCAAGCTCGACGAGCGGCTTCATTGTACGTGTCGGTGTTGATGTCTGTCGCGAGGCGGACCACCGTGGTGTGAACAACGCGAGATAGCGCTCGGACGAGGGCCTCGACCGTGTCAGGATGGATCGCGAGCCCCTGGAGCGACGGTGGCGACACCAGCGCCTGTCCGTCCTGGATCAATGCACAGGAGCCGGCTGTGACGAGCCAATGATGCCGCATCATCTGTTGCAGCGAGAACCACTTGCCATTCAGAGAGAGGCCGCGGAAGACGGCCGCTTGCAGCTGCTGCAAGCCTGAGGTCCACTTCAAAAGCGCGTTGAATGCCTTGTCCGAGAGCTGGACATGATTGAGCGCTAGCTTGCGCAGACGCGATGCGCCAAGCGTGTCTGGCGCCTCATGAAGCATACCGAAACCGAGCAAGAGTTCTTGGAGGTGAGGCATCGACGGCAGCAAATGTAGGACCCAGGTCAGGTCTTTAACGCTCGCCTCAACCTTGAGCCGCGTCAGATGATGGAGACTCAACCGCGCGACAAGCAGCTTGGCATCGTTGGTTGGCACCCGTCGAACGCCAAATCTCGTCACATGCGACAGCGGCTTGGTGCTGGCAATGAGCGCTTTGACGAGCTCGTGCGACGAAGTCATCTCGAGCGTCGTCACGGAGAGAGCCGATGCCAGCACGTCGGCGACTGCCGCCGCATCGTCCTTGGCGAGCTTACATGAAAAGTTGATGTGTTTCTTGAGACGACCATTCCCAAGCCATTGCTGCAAAGACGGTGCGAGGTTGGATTCGACAAGGATGTCACCGTCGTCGTTGCTGTCAACGAACATTACATGGCGAAGACTCGGCGGTAGAAAGGGCAGCACCGTCGCAAAGGCGGCGACATCAAAATGCATGAAGTCAAGGTGCGTGCAGTGCAAAGTCCAGCTGGAGACGGCCGTCGCGTCGTCGCTGTTGAGACTCGCTTCTGCTGCACACCGTGGGTGGTGTCGTTGAGCTTCAACTTGAACTGCAAGCAGAGCTGCAAGCACGTGCTTTCTCGGATCACGGGCAGAACCCGCAACAGTCGCGGTTGACGCATTGGTCCAGATGCGTGATCTTGGTCGGCCAAGCTGCCGTGAACGCGCTAAGGCTGTCGTAACGACCAGCGAGTGCGCCCTGAAGCGTCTCGCAGAGGGAAACATGGATTGCTGGCAGCGCTGGCAGAGCGGCCAAGGCGAGGTCCATGTCCTCTGCGCCGACAAGGTCGAAGACGATGACCGGCCACTGCTTCATGACCGTCGACGACGTCGTCAAGAGCTCCAGGAGCGCTGCCAGTGGCCCATCAAGCGACGGCATGGCGCGCAGAAAGGCGACAGCGTCAAGAAGCGAGCCCAAGCAATGGATGACTCCGACGCGGACGTGGTCCAAGGCCAAGGCGTCCGAAGGCGCATGGCAAGCCCGCTTGGCTGCCATGTTGCACTTTCCGGATAACTGTGCACATCGGGCCCTGCTTCACAGTTCGCGCTGTTGGCGCATTGACGTTCCAAGTGCCGGGTGTGCCAGGCGAGCTTTTGAGAGGTCCGATGCAAGGATATACCATTATTGCTATAACGTTATTTAGATTGTGCAAATTCTTAGTTTTAGCGACAATAATCTGGGCTACAGAGATCGTACTCGCTGCCGTCGCGAGGAAGTATCGCGACGCCAAAGTCCAGCCAGGCATCGCGAGCGACTTGCTTGAACGTCTCGGCTTTCACGTTCATTGCCAAGCGCAACGTGGTGTTGATAACGTGTGACAGAGCTCGAACAAGAGCGCTGACCGTCACACCACTTATCGCATGGCCTTCGCGCGACGGCGCCAACATGGTCTGGCCGCTGACGAGGCTCAAGCTGTCGATGCCGGCGGCGACGACCCATTGACCCGGCGTCATTAGTTGCAGCGAAAACCGCTGTCGATTCAGAGAGATGCCGCGGAAGATGGCCGATCGCAGCTGCTGCAAGCCAGAGGTCCACTGGAAGAGCGCGTCAAACGCTTGGTCGGACACGTCAACGCCGCTCAGTGCCAGCTTGCGCAGACGTGGAGTCGCTTCGCTTAGCGCGTCTGGTATCTCGTGCAGTTGACCATAGCCAAGCGCAAGCTCCTCGAGGTGCGGCATCGACGCAAGCAGCGGTAGGACCCAGCCGAGGTCACTCACGGCCTCGATCTCGAGCCGCGTGAGGCTGGTGAGATGCAGGCGTGTCACAAGGAGCATTGCATTTCGGACTGACGCTTGATGGAGCAGAAAGCTTGTCACATGCAAACGTGGCGTGGTGCTGGCAAGAAGCGCCTGAACGAGTTGGTGCGACTCGTCTATCTCGAGGGTTGCCATCGACGACGTCAATGCAAGTACGTTAGCAATCGCAGCCGCCTCGGCCTTGCCCAGCTTAGCATCAAAGCTGACGTGCTTGTTGTTGTTCTTGCCATTCTCAAGCCACTGCAGCAAAGACGGAGCGAGGTTCGAACCGCCATTCTCATGATCATCATCATCGTCGTTGTCGTTGTCGTCGTCCCTCGGTGGGGCAAAAGGGTCGTCGCCGCAGCCAGTCAACAGTACATGACGGAGGCTTGACGGCAGAAACGGCAATAGCTCTGCAAAGGCGTCCACGTGAACACACATGTAGTCGAGATGCGTGCAGTGCGTGACAAAGCATCTTACGTCGTCGACGTCGTCGGCGTCAATGTCGTGGTCGAGATGCGTGACCTTGGTCGGCCACGCCGCTGTGAACGCGGCCAGATCTGGAAAGCGACCGGTGAGCGCCCGCTCAAGCGCCTCGTAGGACGAAATGCGAATCGCCGGCAGCGCTGCGAGTGCGTCAAGTGCGAGGTCCAAGCACCGCGCGTCGACTCTCTCCAGAATCATCGCGGGCCAATGGCCGAGGACCGTCGGTGACGACGTCGAGAGAAGTGCTAGCAGCGCTGTGAGCGGTGCTGAGAGCAACGGCGCGGGTATAGCACGTAGAAAGGCGACGACGTCCTGCGGCGAGGAAATGCACTGGACGATCAAGTGGACAATGTGGTCCACGGCCATGACCGATGCGGGCGCCAGATGGCGGCGCTTGGCGTTCATCAAGGACAGCGAAGAGCCTCCAATACGGTGCATTCGTTGGTGGCCATCGCGTTTCAAAATGGCGGCGGCAGGTTATTTCAATTCGATCTTGCGTCCGGCAATAGTCGAGACAAGTGACTACTTGTAGTATAGAATAACATTAGAAATATGAGATCTGATTGGGCAAGGCCACGTTTCGAATGTCTGGAGGGTGAGGTACAGTATATTTGGACGTACATTGTACATAGTAGAATCACGGATGTATGATTCGCACAATTCGTTCTGAAATTTTATTGTGGGCTTTTAAAGATATAGACAAGTCCGAAATCTGTCGGACGCGTATCAACACGGATCGACCGCTCGTCGGCAAGGGTACGGACGAGGAAGATGTCATTGTCATCGATGCTGAACTGCAGCGTCGTGGCCGTCGATGCCGCCAGCGCACTGAGCAGGTACAAGTAGTCGAGAGACCCCAATTCGTTCTCCGAGAGGTCCATATCCAGCGGGCCTCCGTACGACAGCCTGTCTCTTAGCACCGACACGACCGCACGCACACCGGCCCGTCCCATGTTGCAGTCCTGTAGCGTGACGAGCGGAGCACTTAGTGTAAGGACCCAGTACTCCACAGCCTACAAAGCAAGCTCTGGGTGCTCGTCAAACAAGTGCATCCCGTCCAGGTGGATCATTTCGAGTTGTTGGAGCTGCAGCGTCCAGCGCAAAATCGTGGCAACGGCCTCGGTCGAGAGCTGCATCGCCCGCAGCGTGAGTCGAGCGAGGCGGCCACTTGGTGGCGGTAGCGTCGCTGGCATCGCATCGAGCGAGCCGTCGCAGAGACTTAATTTGTGCAGCTGAGACATGTGCGGTAGCGCCTCCAAGACGCAGCTCATATCATCCGTAGCAAAAATGTCCAAGCGCGTCAGTCGACCGAGGTCGAGGAGCGCGACGAGGCCAGCAACGTCCGACGACGTGAGAAGATGGCCAAGCGTGATCTCTTGCCAGTGGTACAATGGCTTGCCTGCAGCGACAAGGGCTCGGACGATGGCCTCCGACTCGTCTAAATCAATGTGCGTCACCGACGTGGCGGTCGCCAGCGCCGCTGCAAAGCTCGTCGCGCCGTCCGCCTCGTCGATGCGCAACAGACGTAGGTTCCTCACGCGTCCTTGCGCCAGCCACGGAAGCAATGGCGCAGCGGCCGCATACGTCGGTGCGACGTCGCCGGGCTCGAGCCGCACGCAGTGCACACGGGGCCCGAGGTGGGGCAGCAGCGCGCCATAGACGTCGAGCGTAGCTTCCAATCGCTCCAGGTGCGAGCAGCGAGGTAGAATACGCAGCATGTCCTCAATGCTCTGGTCGTCGACGCATTCGTGGATGGCCACAATCTTGGACGCATGCGCGCTCAGAAAGGCCTCGAGGTCGCGGAACCGACCTTGGAGGCGATCAACAAAGAGCGTCCGCTCGCGGATCTCAAGCGCTGGGAGCGCTGGGAGCGCGACGAAGGCGAGCTCGACAGACGCGGCCTCGAGCCTCTCGATGCAGATCGTGGGCCATTGGTCGACAGCGGCCGGCGACGTCGCCAAGAGCTCCTTGGTCGCCGCCAGTGGCGCGCTCATTGTCGCTGCTGGCAGGGCCTGTAGCAAGGCCAGTGCGTCGTCCCAAGCGTCCAGGTACTGTAGGAGCGAGATGGCCGTCACGTCCAGCACCATGGCGGCGGCGGCGGCGGCGTGGACTCGCTTGCGCTTCATCGCCATGCTTTTTTGTGTTTGTTAAAACTGTGTTTTGGAATGGCTGCAGGTGATTGGTCCATAAGATCGTGATGTGATTGGTCCACAGGTTTATGCTGCTGCCAAGACAGTGCATGGCGGCCACAGTGGAGCTCTGCACCGACGCCACGGTCGCAGTGTCCCTACCACAGAGACATATTTAAATGAGAGGAAGCGTGTGGATAAGTCATTGGTCGTCGGCTTGCAGGCGATGTGTTCTGCTCGACGAGGACCCGGATCCCAATCATCCGGATAAACAAATGGTTAACCGGACTATCATTTTCACCACTTTTGTCGGAAGCTCGACAGGCCGCATGGGCGTGCGTGACCGAGGACGGCGAATACCTCTCTGACGCGAGCGCGTAGAACGCATCCGGATCCGACTTGTGGTGGGCAGCCTATCACGGCAAAGAGGCTGACGTGGCAAGCCTCCTGCGCGGCGGCGCCGACCGCAACTACCTCAACATGGTACGCGCAACTACTAGTACAGCTGGTCTCGATATCCGTGCTCGCCTTGTAGCAACGACAATCGCCACTGTGGATCGCAACCGATCGAGGCCACGAAAGCGCGATGCGCTGCCTCCTCGACGCTGGCGCGGACGTCAACCTCGGCGACGAAGTATACATATCTTGGTCGCAGCCGCCTTCCCGATGCCTTGGCCATAGGACACCCGGACGCCATTGTTCATGGCCTGCCACAACGGCCGTGAAGCGCTGGTGCGGCGGCTTCTCGGTGCCAACGCCAACGTCCACATTAGCAATAACGTACGTCGCATGATGTACTCGATCGTCGACTATGGTTGCTACGCGTTAGTTTGGCCAATCGCCGCTGTGGGTGGCCGCCAGCAAGAGTGACGTCATCGTACAATTGCTTCTCAGCGCGGGGGCTAATATCCACCAAAGCGCCTTGGTACGTCCAACAGGCTAGGATTTTGCCTACATCTTCTCAGAACGAGTGGACACCGCTGTACCATGCGGCGGCGGGTGGACGCGAGGCCATAGTCAAACGTCTACTGGAAGTGGGGGCTAACGTCGATCAAAGCACCAACGTACCGTCCGGCGTCCTCATCTATACGACAATAATGGACACTTTGGCTAGTTACGAGAGACACCGCTGTACGCGGCGTCGGTCCGCAAGTTTGAGAGCGTCGTCCAGCGCCTGCTTCTTGCCAACGCCAGTGTCAACCTGTGCCAACACGTTTGTCTTTGGATACTCTGTTTTCTACAGTGTTTGATGTACTGGATGTAGGAAGGCGAAACCCCGCTGTATGCAGCGTCCGAGTACGGGTGCGACGCCGTGGTTCAACACCTGTTGAAGGCGCGCGCCGACGTCAATTTAGCCAATCGCGTACGTCTCGGCTGCCGCCTTTTGCTCGCTAATCTTGGTGAACTATAACTCTAGTTGGGAAAATCGCCGCTGTTTATAGCCTCCGAGTACGGACACGATGTTGTCGTGCGCCGCTTGCTCGCGGCGGGGGCTTGTGTCAACCAAGTCGATACGGTAGTATCCAGTGGATAGAACGATGAATGGTGATTTGTACCCTAGCTTGGCCGGGCACCGCTCTGGATCGCCGCCCAAAAAGGTCGAGACTTGGTGCTTCATTTGCTCGTGGCCAAAAAAGCAATGCTCGACCACGGCGACAACGTAGGTATAGGGTTCCATGACTTGAGGTTCAGAATTGGACTCATAGGACGGCCAAACCCCACTCTCAATCGCTGCGGAGAAGGGGCATTTGGACGTGGTCGCGTTTCTCATTGGCGAAGGCGCCAACATCGACGCCGCCATGACGGTACATATATATTTGGGATGAATCGGTGAAAAGAGAGAAAATATTCATGTAGGACGCAGCGACGCCGCTTTTTCTGGCCAAAAAAAATGGGCATGCAAAAGTGGTTGCGTTCATTATAGAGGCCAAGAAGCGGCCTCGCACCACCATCACCAACAATTACACTACGAATGGCGTCGTCTTTAACGGCAACCACGCGACCAACCATGGGCCCGTGACGCAGCACCGCAAAGCTCCTTAGATACGATAACGACGCCGTACATATATGCTACTAGTACACATTGTATCGGGGTTGCTCATTCCACGAAGCTGCAGCAAGCTGTTGCGCTCCCCCAATGCAAAACCTTAACCAAAGAGCTCGACCAAAACCTGCCCCAAGAAAACACGAGGTTAACCCTAGTCACTGATTGACGCGTACACCACGTCTCTAGTCCAGCAAGGCATACCTTGAGACGCAAGTTTGCGTTAAACTTGGAATACCACTCATCGGCTAGCGGCTAGCGGTGTTGAAGTGGGTTAGACTCCCATCAGTGCCCCACCACTGTATGCGACCAACGGTCCAAAGTTTCAACATCGTGTATGCCCCGCTGGCAGGAGGGACAGGTACCATCGTACTCGAGCTTTGTGAGAAGAGATGCCGCACGACTCGATTTTGCGCGGAATGAGACCGTTGGCGTTTTGAAATAGCACCGAATGTGGTTGGCAAATGCACTCGACTCGCCACAGGTAGCGTTTCTTCTGCGCGCATTCTTTGGTGGCGTTCGTGCGATGGTCAGCAAGATCCGAACCTGAACCGTAAACCTTGGGAACGTGCTTTGACGATGCGAATAAACTGACGACGAGTCGAAACCACTCGGATGCTGCACCGACGATCTCGAGGACATGGACGTCACATTTGTTTTGGCCTTGGATACGATGGTGCAGCTGCAAACGACCCTTCTTCTTCTTCTTGCGCTCGCGTTGCCTCGTGTCTCTGGGCACGGTGTCATTTCGAGTCCGATGGCCGAATTTATACCGGATGTGATGCGAACAACGTATGTGGCCACGATCCAAGCGTTCTTACCTGGCAAGTTTGACGACTCGCCCGCGACCAACGTCGCCAACTTCAACAAGGCGTTTGCTGCCCAGTCGCAGTACAAGACACTTCGTGATTTACTCGACCTGAGCGGCCCAGACTGCGGCAACACGCGGACAAATGTCGCTCCCAAGCCGATTCCTTCCGATGGCATGATGACGTGGCAGAACCCGGACACGGGCGAGGGGTTCATTCCGAGCCACACGGGTCCGTGCGAGATCTGGCTCGACAACAACCGCGTGTTTCAAAACGACAACTGCGCCACCAACTTTCCGACTGCCCCCGCAGCACGACTGCCGGTGGACTATACAAAATGTGGTCCGAACGGGTGCATGTTGCGCTTTTATTGGCTTGCGCTGCACCAGCCCCAGTGGCAAGTCTACAGTACGCGCTCCGTTTCATAAGTGTTGGCGATGAACGTGTGACTCTGAGTAGAAAACTGCGTGCCACTGCAAGGCAACGAGCAGGGATCGACACCCACCGTCGCCCCCGCGCCAGCGACGACACCCACCGTCGCCCCCGCGCCAGCGCCAGCGACGACTTCGTCGTCGACATCGGCCCCATTGAACGGTGGTCAGTGCTCCAACGTGGCGATCGGCGTCGACTACTACGGCAACGACGTCAACAGTCTCTACGTCTCGGGCACCGACCAAGACAAAGTGACGGCCTGTTGCACTGCCTGCACGACCACCATCGGTTGCAACGGCTTCACCATCAACGGCGAGACGTGCTGGCTCAAGAGCAAACTCGTCAATGCGAGCACCTGTCCCAACTGCATTTCGGCGTCCTTCGTCACCTCGACGACAACGCAAGCCCCGCCTCTGAACGGCGGCAAATGCGGGACTGTTCAAGAGCAGGTCGACTACTACGGCAACGACCTCGGCCTTTTCCGCGTCTCGGGCAGCGGCCAGGACAGAGTGACGGCTTGCTGCACTGCCTGTACGACGACCATCGGTTGCAACGGCTTCACAGTCAACGGTGACATGTGCTGGCTCAAGAGCAAACTCGACGTCGCCACCAGTTGCCCCAACTGCCTCTCGGCGGCATTTAGTGGCCCGTCGTACCCGACGCAAGCCCCGCCTCTGAACGGCGGTCAGTGCGCCAACGTTCAAACCGGAATCGACTACTACGGCAACGACCTCGGTAACCTCTACGTCTCGGGCACCGACCAAGACAAGGTGTCGGCGTGCTGCAGTGCCTGTACGCAGAAAATTGATTGCATGGGCTTCACAGTCCACGGTGACATGTGCTGGCTCAAGAGCAAGCTCCTCAACCCGACGCTCTGTCCCGACTGCATTTCGGCGTCGGCGGGCAGCAAGGCGCAGTGCGGCAGCATTGCGAGCAACACCGACTATTATGGCAACGACATTGCCAGCTTCCAAGTCCTCGGCGACGATCTGTCGCAGCGCACGCAGTGCTGCAACGGCTGCGCATCGACAAGCGGGTGCGTCGGGTTCGCGATCAACAGTGGCACGTGCTGGCTCAAGAACAAACTCGGCGACAAGAGCAACTCGCCTGGCGTCGTCTCGGGCAGCTACCCCGCCTAGCGCTTGTCGGCATCGCCGCGTCACGGCCTGACTGACATGTCGCGTACATTTTTTCTAGGTGTATACCATAATAACATATTTGTATCGCAAAAGTCCGAAGGGGCGGTGGCAGTGGTCGCTCGCTTGGCTGTGGGTCCTTCCCCGTATCATTTTCAGTGCTCTAATGACATTGATGACGCTCGGCGCGTCGGCTGGGCCGTGGACACGAACGTGGGAAGGACGTGAAATGACTTTCAATGCTGGTGCTTCACCAAACCTCGGTGCAAAAGTTGGGTTTGATATTGAGATTCAGCTGCCACGAGGCCACATGTTGTTATGTTGCGTCCTTTCTGGCCTACAGACAAGCGGTGTGTAATTGCTGGTCTAAAAACACCATCATTCATGCCAGTCATTGGACCAGCCTGGACCGATGCTTCTAGCACTCGAGACGGTCGAGCACATTGCGTCGTACATACCGTCGTATGCGGCGCTCTCTACCCTTCTCGACGTGCTGCCCGAGCACACGCCGGCAATGCAGTACGTCCGCTCGTGGGGCCAGAACAAGCGCGGCGCCCTCTGGCGCTGCACTTTCTCCAAGTTCACCATGTCCTTGAATGGCTACCACTTGCGCTACCACAACACGGATGCAGCGCCAATCCACACGTACCTCGCGGCCGCCGCACCCTTTGTCCCAGGCGTCTCGGTGACCATCAGCAATCTTGCCGAGTTTACGCAGTACGTCCAGCCCATTTCGCACCTCGTCACGTCGGTGGAGCTCGCGCCGACCATGGACTTTATCGATGCGGCGCAGTCGCCGCCAAATGCCGGTGCAAACCTGCGTGACGCGCTTCTAAAGTGCCCCCGACTGCACACGCTGCGTGTCACGGTCGCCGATTGGGACGACTTTGACGGCGACCTCGCCAACGTCGACACGGTCCTCACTGCGATGGCCCACCTTCCGCGCCTCGTCCATGTCGATGTGGAGGGTTGTGAATTTGCTGTTTCCAAACTCGCTGCCTCTTGCGTTCACAGCCTCATTGCCTGGCTGGCCAACGGCGACGCCAAGTCGCTTCGACTCGTGCACTGCAACCTTGCGATGGACGAGACCGGACGGGACGGTCTCGGGCCCGCGCTCGCTAGTGCGCTATCGCAGTCGAGCTCGCTGGAAGAACTCGAGATCAAGAATACCCCGTTCTTCAACGCGTCGGGTCTCCACGGGCAGCCGCTGCCGCCCACCTTGCGCGTGTTCCGGTGGACCACTTCGGATACGCCGCTCGATGTGTCGTCCGAGACTCTCGCGCGCCACCTCTGTGTCTCGCTAGTGTCGGCGACGCGACTGCAAAGGCTTCGTGTGGCAGCCAACAATGTCTTGTGCCCAAGTACGTTTGTCCAGCAGCTTGCGTCCATCTTGCCGACGATGACGCGCCTTGCGTGTTTGGAGCTCAAAGGCATTGCGGTCGGTGACGCGACGTCACTCATGGCCGTGCTGCCATCGCTGCCCGCCTTGTCGACGCTGCGCTTCAAAATGGCGCTGATCGACGACATCGGCGCGATGGCTCTGTCGGTGGCCCTTCCACGCTGCATGGCGCTGCGTGCCCTTGAGATTCGCGGCGTGTACAACCAAGCGTCGGCGTCGGCACTGCGCACCGCGGTCGCGTCCATGCCGTCGCTCGTTATACGGTGAGCCACGGGCTATTCCAAGGGAAGACGTATTGCGCTCTTCCACCCAATGCATGACGATCGCTAAGGCTGTTATTTTGTCCTCAATAGCCTTTTTTGGGGGAGTTTCGCGTCATAATATTCTTTTTTAGCAACAAGACTCGACACCATGTTTGTCACGACACCGCCGTCGCGTCGCCAGCCCGCCCTCGTCATCGCAGCTCTTG